GACACAAACAAAAAAAAAAAAACACATCATAGTAAAACCAATACATTCTCAGCTTCGCATCGAAGCTAAAATTTACATCAATTGGATAAAAACAATAGTGGTCTATAAATTATACCTTTTGCTTCATTGACATATCTATCAGCATTATTTTCTATTTCTCTTTTAAGTACAATACGAATACTCTTGAAACATTGTTTAATGGCTTCACAGGTTGTAAATTTACAAATCCATCTAGTATTACTAATTAGCCCATAGTTTTGTTTTTATAACCGAGTTATTTTCCAATTCAACTAATTGACAATTCTTTGGAGAAGAAAAAAATTAACACATACACATTTAATCATGTTAAAAAAAACTTAGTTTCCAAAAAAATTTTAATATTTTAATAAAACAAACACATTTTATTAATATTGGTTTTTACTTAAATATTTTTTCACTTATCAGCAACCAAAATATTTATTCTATGAACATACAATGAGTAAAAATCGCTTATGAAAATTTAATTCTAATTTTTTATTGACTCCATTAAATTTCCAGACATGATGTTAGCATAAACATAGGATTGTGAAATTATTTGAGCTTTAAAATAATATAAAACATTTGTTCTTCTTTATAACATCTAAAAATAAAGCAAACATTTTGTAGTAATATTAGTGTTTATTAATTGTATATTTTTTTTATTAATGCTCATTTTTTAATTTATTACCTTACTTCATCAAACATTCTAAAAATCTGTTTACTACTGTATTCTATAATTGAATCTCTTATTCTATTTGCGCATATTTCAATTATTTAATTTTGAATATGATGACTAGTGTGATTGTTTCTTTATTGAATATTTCAGAAAACTTAGGTATATGCTTAGAAAATAAAACACAAGTTTTGTTGAAATTTCCCAAGAAAAATTATTTATTAAAAAATTAATAGTAATAACTTCTCAGTTTTAATTACTTATTATTAGGTGATTAGATTATTTAAATTAGTTCCCTACGTTGATTTAATGATGAATTATTTTTATTATGTCAGGCCATTCTTTGGATAATCAATAAATTGTTATGTTAATTAGACTTTTCATACATTCCCTTTTAGCAGCCACTCTAGTTTAGATTGAGTTACTAGCTGGGTATGATCAGTGTCAGTTTTTTAATAGCTATTTATGAGTTTTTGTAATAGAATGAGCATCATGCTTTGTTAGTTTTCCATTTTTAAGATTTCTAGATCCACATAACTAATACATATAAAAAATGAATAATTAAAGTTAATTTTAGCTATTAATAATAGGCTTAATAGCAATTAAAAGATGTATTTATTGTACAATATAAATACTATGCTGTTAATTTTATACATGATTTACATCTAATATGATTGATATAATAAGACTGTATATCACTTAAATCAAATTTCGAGTTGCCTGTAGATGATGTAATATGGTTTTTAATAATTTCTTACTTGATTAGAGTCACAGCTGTTTCAGGATTTTTTGGATTAAAGATAACAAATAATTTTGAATTCATTATTTTATTAACAAATTAATATAAAAGTAAAAAAAATAACAGTTCTGCTACAATACAAATTTATTTCTCCATGTAAAAAAAGTGCAAATTAACAATGATAACGAGCAGATAGTATTCCACAGTTAAATATAGAATTTGTTGAAATAGTGTATACATTATTTAATAATAATGTATACATATTATGTCATAAAATACAATTAACGTGTATAATAATAACTTTAATTATGTGCATCATGCATTCTTTTAATAATTATTAAAGATTTAATATACCACGTATATTTCAACCAATAGAAGCACTCAAAATTTACGCTATCTATCAGCACAATGGCCTGCGTCCAGCGTATCGTTTCCCTGAGTCCATTTAGATAAAAATTGAACTGCCAAAATTGTGTACGGCGTGGTCTATCTATATGTATTTAATCTATGATGTGTAGTAATTAGATGAGGAAGTATTGAATTACGTCGATTTTAGTATAATATAAGCTTTACAATAGTAGTAAGCAATTTTTGAACTCTTAAGCAATATAATAATTCCATATAAAAGGGAAATGCAGGGTAAGCAAATGAATAATGGTGGAAAAAAGAATATAAAAGGGAAACATAAAAAGTATAGGGGGACGATACTGAACGTTTTGTCGAAGAAACGTCGAGTTACGGGTTAGGTCGTTGATGTAAGAATAACTTTATACTTTTGTAAGATTTAATTAATTTTTGTGTTAAATTTTTATATTATATTTGACTTTGTGTTTAATACATTTCGTAAATAAAATAACTATTTAAAAATCTGGGCTTAGCGAAAATATGTTATATTCACGGTGTTCTCGAAATTTGTGTGTGTGTGTATGTGCGGCTAGAGTCTAAGTTGGACTGATGGTCCTTTAGTCAATCTTAATAATTAGTGTACGAGCTGGCTAGTGTTTGGGCTTAACCGTCCTTTAGTGGGTATAGTAAAAAGGTAGTTGTGCTGGTGGCTGACAAGGAGCCACCCTTCAGTCTGCTAATTTTGAGCTAGACTGTACTGACGGGTCTAAACTCTACCCCTTTAGTAGTCCACTAATTAGAGAGATTGGGGCTGATCAGTTTATCCAACGGGAGGACTCGAGAAGAGCTCGAACGACGAACTCGTCGTCAATATATACAGGGTGATTTTTTTATCATAACCCACTTAATTACTTACAGAATAATAATAATTAAAAATTTTTTTATTACTATCTTTAGTTACACATTATTCTTGAATTATTAACTATGTAATACATTGAGCACAATATAGGACAAAAAATTAACATTAATAATGATATAAATACATTTACTTTACTACTGGAAGAGCGCAGAAAAATTATGTAGAGTTCTATGCTTTTACAATATTTATTTTCTTCTACTTTTATTTTTGTATATTATGATAAAAATAAAACTTAATTCAGGTATGAAATACTTTTGTATTGGATTAGAATTTAAAATAATATCCTATTGTGGAAATGAAAGCAGTCATTGAAAACTAAAATTAAATAAATTTACTGTAACTATAAATTTAAAAACTAAAATAGGTAATAATTATTTCAAAATCTACTTAAAATTAATTAAATATTTCTAGTGATTTTTTTAATTGAATATCATTTTGAATGTAATAAATAAAAATATCATTATTACTTTATGTTAGAGATCCTTTTACTCTTAAATTATAATTAATTAATTAATTATGTTATGTATTGAAATTAAAAACTTTTATTTTACGGTAAAAATTAACTTTCTATTTCTATTAGTTTCAAAATTCCATTTGTTAAACAAATAATAAAAAACAATGAAAGAGATTGATGAAATCACCTCCCCACATAAATAATGTATGCTTTCATCAATGTAATCAAGTATAATTTTTTTTTAGTGTTCGGTAGTTTACACAGTTTTACTTAATCGGAAGCTAAATTTCTAGGACCTTACATTTTTTTTTTTTCATAACCTAAAGAATTAGTTTTACTCTGTTTATTATAAATATTATGTGTACTATGGTCAATGGTGGGGAGGGTTATAGCATTGTAATAAACAAAAAGAGAAAAAAAGGATATGGTATGTGTTGTGGCAAAGGGATGTAAGGAATGTTGTTAGATGTGTTTGGGATTCGAGGTGTGAAAGGGAAGAAATGAATGTAATGTAAAGAAGTGTAACACAGGTGACCAATAAGGAAATAATAATCGTAGCGGGCGTAGTGTAAAAAGGATGGGCGGCAATGGAAAGTAAAAGTGTCTATAGATACCCGGCAGTGACTACAATAGAATGAAATAGAAAGGGATCTCGGGGTATGAATGCTTGCGTAAAGACGTCTAATATATGAATAAGATGGAATTACAAAGAAGAGTCACTACCTAGCTCCTGCACAGAAACACGTACACTAATTTCCGGCGAGTCATAAGTATCGTGTTTTTTATAAAAATATTTTAGTTTATTCTCAATGATCAATCCTGTTCTAATTGTTTATTACTAAAAAATTCTTCAGTGAAGGATCTATTATAGACTTATTATGTAAGCAAATGTTTCACTTACCTCTGACTATCCTGATGTTCTCTTGAGATGAATGATGTTGTTGATGTAACAATTATATTATATTATGTATACGTTTACGCATTAATGTACGCAATTATATTTATACGGTTTATATTATTATTAACTCGCGTGTAACAATTTTTCTAGTACAATTCTATATTAAATCTACCCAAGGTGAAGTCTAAGTTTATTATAACTCTGTCTTTTGTAAAAACCTTTTGTATATTTATGTAGTATAGTCCTTAACCTTGTATATGGTGTTTTACCTTAATATATTTATTATTTCTTTGGTTCCAGGGAAGAAGGGCTTAAGTCAATTTTTGTTGGTTTTCAATACAAACAAATAAAATTTTGAAAATTGCTACAAGTGTAAATTAAATGTTTATATTCCTATATCAAATATTTTTATTATTAGTTTTTCATGTCAAACAAATGTGTAGTAATAGATATATGTACATATTTAGCAATTACAAGATAAATGCACTTGAGCCATTTTTATTTTTGAACTTTTGACATAAGTCATTACGATCATGACTTATGACTTTTAGATTCTATACGTTTTGACTTAACTTAGAATTTCAATAAATTCGTATCAAGGAAACAATAACAAAATACTAGGGTATAACCTTTACATTTATTTTTGTTGAAATAGAATCATAAAAAAAAATTGTTTTTCTAGTAAAACCTTACTTTATTAATAATTAGTATAACAAATTAATTTAAAAATAATATTTTGATATATTATTTAAAATTTTGTTTCACATTTGATTAATACATTCATTCCTCTGAGTATAATTTAACTGTACACATATAATAATGTGTATGTATCATAATATTATTATGATATAGAACAAACATAATATAAAATAAAATAGTACAAAGAATAAAATTAAAAAAATTATAAGAAATTAAAATAAAAAAATTAATCATCATTATCAATAGACAAATCTTCATCAAGATCTGGATCATAATCTTGTTTCTCAGTAGAATCACTATTCAAATTATTTATAAAAATCATGGTAAATATTTGGTATTAACGGGAGAAGTTGGAGTAGATCTCTTTTTTTTTCTTTAGATATTGGAACTGGTGAATTATACATTTTTTGCAATGTAAAATTATTTACACGGCCTCTTCTTTTTAGATTTACTATTTTAAACGGTTCATCTTCAGATAAACTTGTTTTGTAGTATAATGTACCAATGTTACTACTTCTATATTGCAACCAGGCAACATCATGCCAAACAAATTTATTTCCATTTTCATCTTTTTTGCGTACTACTAGAGGTCCTTTCAATAATTTTTCAAAATTAAAAAAATGTTTCTGATCCATTTCATACACAAGAAAAGGTTTCTTTTTGTTTGTACAGCTTTATAATACACTTATAGTGTAGCCCAGTCTCTTGGATGTGCAATTTGAAGTGCGGAATGTTTCTTTTGTTTTTCTATTAGCGAGTTTCTATTGCAGTGTTCCATAGCTTCATCAGAGCTAGGCCCTAAAATAGCATTTTAATTTTTTTAAATTTCATACCTAATATAAATGTTAGTATGTAGGTAACTTTTAATTTTAATTTATAAGTCTTCATAACATTATTCATAATTAATATCTTGATATAGTAACTTAAATATAGTTAACTTAGTAACTATAATTAATTTATTTTGTTAAAACTCAAAAAAAATATTAAAAATAAAATTGAATTTAAAATTATGAAGTTAATTTAAGTATACCTATCTACATATTATTGTTTAACTTACCCCTAACAAATGTTCTTGATGACTAGAAATCCAAAGTTGAACTTTACTATTGCTAGAATTATATTCTTCATTTTGATTATTGGTGATATTGTTATCTAATTAAATTGTAGAACAAAATTTAATGTAATAAACACAAAAATAAAAAAATTATTTTAAAATTCTTACTAGAATGGGAGATTGTTTCATTTTTTTCAGCCATTTGAACCATATTTAACGTACGACGCTTCATTATATTATTATTATTTGTGTATTTTAATTACCTACTAGTGAATACTTATAATAAATTATTTAATTAAAGAAACAACCGTTGTAACTTGTAAATAACACTATCTCACCAAAATCTGAACACAAACAAAATAACCAAAAACAAAGTACTCAAAATTAACAAAAGTACACACAAAACATGCTNCACAAACAAAATAACCAAAAACAAAGTACTCAAAATTAACAAAAGTACACACAAAACATGCAAGATAAACAGTTAATACTATAATTAGTATATGTCGACCGTAGAATGATACCACGTTTATCAGTAACAATATTTTGCTTATCAATCTTGATTCATAAGACTTAAGTCAACATAAATCAATTTTGACAGTTAAAAAAATATATTTATTTACGTTCTAAATGTCTTAAGTCATAGTAATGACTTACGCCTTTTTTGCTAAACAAATTAAACGTCATAGTGACTTAGGATATTTTTATTTTTGCTATAATATGTGCTCGAATACACATACACTTATGCCATCTAGACCAAAAAAAGGGTAAAAAAAACTACATATGACAAAATTATAAAAAAAAAAAATGCCAAAAATTGACTTAAGCCCTTTTTCCCTGGAGCCAAAGATTTAATAATTTATAAAACAAATTAAGAACTTCTAAACAACATAACTGTCCTGTGCAACAAACTATTTCCAAGTGGCCTACGTCTTTTCAGTCGTCCAAACAGTGATCTAGGGTAGATGCGAGCTCAATTTCAGTTCTTTGCACAATAGATTATACTAGTGTCCTACACTCCGATTGCCCGCACTGTGGCTGAGATCAGACTAGCTAGTCGATAAGTGGAGAGACACTTTTTAGTTGTTTAGTATAATATTAGTTATAAATATATGATGTGTGTTTGTGGGGACACCTCACTGAGGTGGCCCCATGGTTTTTTAGGGTACCTCATTGAGGTTCCGCCACCTCTTTCATGCCACCTCCCTTATCA